GTTATTCGATACCTAAGGGTGTAGTGCATATCCATGGTCTTCAGCATGCTCTATGCGCTTTACAACCATTATTACCCCGGAACACTCAGGTACATTCTCAGGTTTCATGGAAGTATACAGTGCAAGCTGTGGAGGGCATGCGCTCAAACACTAACATACTGACAAGATTTCTTTGGTTGTCTTTAGCCGGGTACCCGTTCCTGTATAGTGTTCTGGCGAGTGATGATGGTGATGAGGACATTGGTGACTGGATAAAGACATTGGGTCACATGATGAAGACATTGGGGACATGATAAAGACATTGGGTCACGTGATAGAGACATTGGGTCACGTGATAGAGACATTGGGTCACATGATAAAGACCTTGGTGACATGATAAAGACATTGGTGACTTGATAAAGACATTGGGTCACATGATAAAGACATTGGTCACATGATAAAGACATTGGTCACATGATATTGGGTCACGTGATAGAGACATTGATAAGGGCATAGAGGACATGGTAAGGACATAGATGATATGGTCAGGACATAGAGAGGACATAGATGATATGGTCAGGACATAGAGAGGACATAGATGATAGGGTAAGGACATAGAGAGGACATAGATGATAGGGTGAGGACATAGAGAGGACATAGATGATATGGTCAGGACATAGAGAGGACATAGATGATAGGGTAAGGACATAGAGAGGACATAGATGATATGATAAGGACATAGAGAGGACATACATCATTTTAGGACATGGTGATGTGTAGAGAAAAGGTCCTACCTCATTGTCTAGAGCCCGTGCGCTGGCGTCTATGACCAGCTCCATAGTCCTCATGGTGAGACGTCCTCATGGCACGCGCAGCCAGCCGCACGTCCCAGATGCCACTAGAAATCCACGTTAGTAATCCACAAAATCCGTGCAAGTAATCCGCAACGCCCAACAAGCAATCCACTAGGAATGCACAAAATTCATGCCAGTAATCCGCAAAGCCCAGCGAGTAATCCACTAGGAATGCACAAAATCCGTGCTAGTAATCCAGAACGCCCAGCGAGTAATCCACTAGGAATGCACAAAATCCATGCCAGTAATCCGGAAAGCCCAGCGAGTAATCCACCCGCAACGCCCAGCAAGTAATACACACAATCTACGCTCGTAATCCACAAAGCCCAGCGAGTAATCCACAAGTAATCCGCAAAATCCAGACTAATAATCCTCCAGTATTCTACAAAATTTACATTAGTAATCCACAAGTAATCCACAAAATCAACACTGGTAATCCACGAGTAATTAACAAAATTCACATGAGTAATCCACGATTAATCCACTACATCCACACGATTAATCCAGTAAATTCACAAGAATAATCCACAAAATCCAGGCTAGTCATCCGTGAGTAATCCACTTTGGTCTTGGTCAACTGGCCTGGAGCACACGGTTTATTGCAACACAGGACTCACCTATATGTCACAACACACCTACAGCGTGTACACAGTGTGTTGCAATACACAACTCACCTACATGTTTCAGCACATAACACATCTACATTGTGTTCACATACACGTGTGAGATGCGTTGTGTGTCACATGCACGTGTGAGATGTGTTGTGTGTCACATACACGTGTGTGAGATGTGTTGTGTGTCACATACACGTGTGTGAGATGTGTTGTGTGTCACATACACGTGAGAGATGTGTCAGGTGTAAGACTTGTGTCGATGTCACCTGATGTTTACAATATATTTAGTGTTAATGTCGGTCAATCTCACCTGAGATTGAGAATTTGTGTTGTCTGACAATCTCACCTGTTATTTACCATATAATTTATGCTGATGTCGCACGTTCTCTCATCGAGTAGGTGGTTGGCGGGTGCTCTGGTGTGGTTTGCTCATTCTTTCCAATCAAACATGTCGTCCTGATCTCTCCTCCTTTCTTAGTTGTGTCTGTCACTCTCTTGTAGTAGATCTACCTCTAGTCTTTGGTTGTGTCTGTGACTCTCTTGTAATAGATCTACCTCTAATCTTTGGCACTTATAATATGACCTTATTGTGTTGCAAGTGGCGGAAAACTCTTACTAAAACTAAACATGTATCATCTCTATCTCCTCTCCTTTTTTTGGGTTTTGTTTGTTACTCTCTTGTAACACCTCTGGTCTTCCGCACTTAGATTATCTATATGACCTTATTGTGTTGCAAGTGCCGTAAAACTGTTACTTAAAAAAAAAGATGTGTTGTGTGACATACACGTGTCAGGTGTATGAGATGTGTTGTGTGCCATACACGTGTCAGGTGTATGAGATGTGTTGTGTGCCATACACGTGTCAGGTGTATGAGATGTGTTACGTTGATGTCGTGTCGTTTTTACCTTATGTTCACAACCATATTTTATGCTGATGTGTGACGTTCTGTCATGGCGGGGTGCCCAGGTTCCGCGGGGATGATGAGCGAGGTCCGCCACCAGGCATAGGGCGCAGGGACCGCTCACGCAGCAGGGAGAGACGCAGGCGGTCACGCAGCAAGGAGCGGCCACGCAGGTCACGCAGCCGAGAGAGGAGGAGGAGTCGCAGCCGGGAGAGACGCAGGAGCCGGGAGAGAGGGGAGAGGCCTGATGCTGAGGGTGAGAGAGACATTGAGATACATCAGTGGTCATTTAGTAAAGG